ACAGCAGTAAGTATAACACAGTTTGTAAATATCTGTATATTTGTTATAGATATCAGAATATCGGCGATGTCTGAATATCAGCTGCCTGAGTTTACATGTCGAATACTTCAAAGACTCTTTTTAAACAGAACCAGGAGCTGTGGAATGAAATGTTGTTTTTGTGTGTCTGTCGTTGCAGTAAATGCAGTGTACAACCTGTATGCAGTGTCCAACCACTCAGGCACCACTATGGGCGGTCACTACACAGCTTACTGTCGCAATCCCAACTCGGGAGAATGGTACACGTTTAATGACTCCAGGTAGGTTCGAGCACTCAAATCTCACGAGACGTCAGAGCTCGTACTGATGTCGTTTACATCACGATGGAAAGATGCAAACACACCGCACTAACCCGCATCTTTGATAACTGACTCTTGACTGGATTTAAATTGTGTTGGTAAAAAAGTGCTTGTTTCCATGTTATAGATTATACAGCAGTGTGATGTATTTTCAGTGGACTCAGAGAGACATTTAGAAAAAGCTATATATGTATATCATCAGTGGCAACTGTCATTTTATGATCATCATTTCGATCTCTAACTTATTATGTGTTACACATGCAGGAGGTGAATCATTCCTAATAAACCTCATTAGTAGCTAACATGACATCACTGTGGTTTAAAAGGTGAAACTGAGGAAACCCAGTGAACCTTAAATGAGTAAGAACAGAAGCAGAGTTTTGAAGAAGGAATGAAGATGGAAGCAGCAGATAATCCTCCTCTCCTCTCTCGTCTCTGCTCTTCCTGCTACGCTGCACTCATTCATAACAGCCCTCTCTCATCCTCACTGAACACAGTGTGTCGCAGGTCTCATGCATCTCCTCGGTCGATCTCTATTATTATTCTGGGACATTACTGCAGCGTGCAGGACAATACAGAGCGTCATCACCACACACCATGTGGGCTTCTGTGTGTCTGATAGTCCTGGACAACTCCATGTGTCCTCAAACGTCTTTTTTAAACTAAGATGCCATGATCGTAGCTCTTACCCAGGGTATATACTGAGATAATGTAGATTTCAAATGTCTTGTTTGGTCCAAAGCGGCAGGCAGGTGATATGTTTTGAAAAGCTTTAATTCATGTTCTTCTATATGTTTACGTGAACCAGGTATTTAAGCATCAAGAAAATCATATATGACTATGTATAGCAACCATGGTTGATTGTTGAATTTGCTGTCGTCCTGAACACACGACACAGAGGAAATGGAGGAAGTGTTCAGATGAGGCAGCTCCAGAAAGACCTTGAAAAAACAAAAGAATAACTTCCTTCAAACCTTTACTTATCTCGACTGCGGCAGCCTTCCATATCCCTATGTGTGCTGTCACAGTTTCATAATTAACCAGAAAAGCTGTGTGCAGCACGGTTTACAATGCAGTTCTCTCTCTCTCACTCTCTCTCTCACTCTCTCTCACTCTTTAGTCTGTGTACCTGTCACTTTAAATCTGTTGCCAGGAGAGCAGGGTGTCAGTGACTCTGTCAACTCACAGAACCTGTTCATATAAAAACAGTTCAGTATGTTGCCTTGGTTCCAATCAGTGGACTGTGATGTAGCATATGTACAGAGTTAGTATGAAGAGACTTGATCCATCATCCTGAATCTCACCATGTCTCCCCCCCCTCTCTCTTTCTCTCTCTCTTTCTCCAGAGTAACGCCAATGTCCTCCAGCCAAGTGCGCAGCAGTGACGCCTACGTCTTGTTCTACGAGCTGGCCTCCTCCTCGCGGATGTGAAGCCTCCCCGAGGACGACGGGCCTCAGCACCACACTAACTGATGGACAGACAGATGGCAAATGAGAATGTTGGCGGAGTTGGGCCTATATTTGACTTGTATCTGGACATATATCTCACACACACACACACACACACACACACACACACACACACACACACACACACAAAGGCACACACCACTACCAGCCTGGAGGCTGCTTCTCTCCACAGAGAGAGCTGGAGAAGGGGAACTTTCTGGACACCACAGGAACCTGATCAACCAGCCCTGCTTTCTTTCTCCCTCTGTCTTTACTCTCGTGTCTTGCTCATTCTGGGTGGAGGTCTGTGCGTGTGTGTGTGTGTGTGTGTGTGTGTACACTAGTTGTGTGCGCGTGTTCGTGTGCGTATGGATGCGAGGCTAACACAGGCAATAACCCCACCCGACCGACCAGCCGGTGTATCCGTCTCCATCTCAGAAGTCCCTCTCTATGCACTGCAAACCAAACTCTCCTGACTGCGCCTTTTGCTTTGTTTTCTTAAAGTCTTTGATCTTCTCGTTTGCCTCAAACCATTTTTTGTCTGCTTTGAATTTATGTTTGTTTTAATTTTTGGTGGGGGGGGGGCGGGGTTAATTATCACGTCATCACCACCACATCCCTTCTCTGGACTGTGAGGAAACCTGTGCTTAGAGTGCGACTGTAACAGAACAGAACTGGTATTTGTTATGACGAGCTTACAGCCACCGGCCTGCTCGGTTTTCATGTCTGTCCCTCCCACTGCACTACAACACTCCCGTGTCTCTGTTTGCATCTTCCTCACTCTGTCTTTATCTTCCAGTGGTTGGGAGGCAAGTGGCACTGTGGGCGTTACATGTTTCAGAGGACAACCCTCTACGTCGTGTTTTATTTAATTTGTTTCTCCCACGTGTGGCTGCTACTGATGTTTTAAAAGTGCTGTGAATGGATGAATGGACAGTCCAGTGCGGATCTGCTAAGGGTTAATGAAATAGACGATAATAACGTAACACTCCTCATCGTCAGTATGAGGTCTTTTCTTCCTCTCTTGTTTCATGCCATTGAACAACATGGAAAGAATGTTTTAAAGAAGAAAAAACCTACTATATCTGTATATTTTTATATTCTGATGCAATATAGAGAATGTACTATTCAATGGTGCTGAAAATGACCCATTACTGTTTTCAGTTGGTTTCTTTACCAGGTTTCAAGAGAGAGAAAAAAAGTTCTTATTTATGCTTACATGTGATAATGTGATGAGTCACACTTTTTAACAGTGGCAGTCAAAAACATGAGTATATAAATATATATATAAATATATATATGAATAAAAGTCAACAAAACGATGGTTTTACTTTGAGTCTTTGTCTTTTTTTGGTCTGAATTTGAAACTGTCATAAGACTCTAGTTCAAATGTCCTGAGAAAAGCACAGAGACAAATGAAAATACAGGAACTTGATTTCTTCTGTTGCTCTGGCCTTTAGGTAACGCTTCCCTCTGCCAGATGTGTTGTTATGAAACTGAACTTCATCTAGATTTACTAGATGTACTGACAGTTCTTATATCTCCCTTATCAGCTTAACACCGCAGAGACAGACACCATTTTCTTTTGTTGGAACGCTCTGTGATGGTTGTGGAGGCGCAGCAGTCTGGCCTACTTTCTGCCGCTCCATTATCCGTACATGGCCTATTTCTGTGGTCCGAGCTCTGCGGCCCCACAGTGAGATCAGATGCCACGATAGGGTCCGGCAGCCAGGAGTAGTTCTGCAGGCCGTCTCCCTGGAGGCTCCCAAGTTCGCCACAACAGGATCCATCCAGTGAGACACCTTCAAATAAAGCAAATGCTCCATCCACTCAATACATCTCAACAGGACGGGTTGTTTTTGTCCAGGATGGAACGGCCATCATATCTTCAGACTGCTGGCACTTCACAACACAATTTCCACTGTGTGTGTGTGTGTGTGTGTGTTTGATCTTAATTAATCACGTGGCCTGGCTTGACCTTGATACACATGAAACAGTAGCTTTGATTGTGGATTAATTCAGCTCGACAGAGGAAACACATGTTACACAACCGGTTAACTACCGTGTCAGTGAAAGGAGAAGGAATAGATCAATGTGTTGCACAGCTTGTAGGTATCAGACTGGTGTAAATGTTTTTATTTTATTATTGATCTTTTAAACAGTATTTTGAGAAAGTATTTTTACTCGAGGTCACTTATTAGCTCTTTTGGGGCATTAACTGCTCATCACACATTTTCATCAGCAGTGTAATGTGTTTGTTGAAATGTCATGGAGTTGGTTTAAAACCCTCTAGGGTGGCGTGTGTCTACAGAATTCACAAACTGTAACCTTGAGCCTTGTTTACACCAACCAGCCTCCATCCATTATTTAGAACACTCATTCTTTGACGGTCATGGGGCAGCTGGAGCCAGTTAGCTGATATCGGACGAGAGGAAAGGTACGCGCTGGACACATGATGCATGATGGGAGGCCAAGACTGTTATCATGCATGCAAATTTTACACTAGAATTTTATATTGAGAAAAAAACTTCATAA